GACTGCTTTGGCTAACCCTATCAGTTCCCGTTCATAAGCTGCGAGCTTAACATGACGTGCAACAATCTTGCCACTAAAATATGCGATGGGATGGCTTTCCTGTTGTAATACTGCCCCAAAACCAGATCCTGATGCATCACATTCAACAATAAATTCTTTGTCGAAATTAGGTAATTGGAGAACTGGGGCTGATGAAAGGCGCAGTTTGAGCTCGTGGAACGCTTCTTCGGCTGCATTTGTCCAGGAAAAGGCACTCTTCTTCAGCAATTGTGTGAGTGGACCAGCAATCTCACCATAATGGTGAATAAATTTGCGGTAATAACCTGCCAGGCCCAAAAAACCGCGTAAAGCTGTAACTGATCGGGGTGTTGGCCACCCCGTGATGGCCTGGATTTTGGCTAGATCAGCCTCAACGCCTTGGCTATGAATAATATGGCCGAGATATTGTACCTGCGGTGCGCCAAAATTGCATTTGGATTTTTTTAAAGCATGGCCATGGGTGCGCAAGGTTTCCAGGACAAGGTGGACATGATAAACATGTTCTACCCAAGATTTGCTATAAATGAGTATGTGATCGAAGAAGACGAGGACAAACTTACGAAGGTATGGTGCAAAGATGGCATTCATTAAGCTTTGAAACGTGGATGGTGCATTGGTGAGCCCAAATGGCATGACTAAGAATTCAAAGTGGCCGTGATGAGTTCGAAAAGCTGTCTTTTCGATATCTTCTTCTGCCATGCGGATCTGATGATATCGTGAGTGCAAGTCAAGTTTTGTGAAAAATTTGGACCCATGAAGTTCGTCCAACAACTCATCGATGACAGGAATCAGAAATTTGTCCTTAACGGTGCGGGCATTGAGTTCTCTATAGTCAACACAAAACCTCCATGTGCCCTCAGCTTTTTTAACTAGAAGGACAGGTGATGAAAAGGGAGATCTGCTTGGGCGGATGATACCTTGCTGGAGCATCTCAGAACACTGCCGCTCAATCTCGTCTTTCTAGAAATAGGGGTAACGGTATGGTCGAACGACCACCGGACTAGTTCCTGGAAATAATGTGATTTTGTGATCACAAGCTCGTGTAGGCGGCAGACCAGATGGCAAGCGGAAGATGTCTTCAAACTGGTCCAGGAGACTTTGTAACTTGGAAGATGATTTGGTAATCACGTGGGCCTGAAGTGGAGGTGCGCCAGCATGGCCATGCCATTCCACAGAAGTGTTCTGCCATCTGAATCGCATGAAAAGGCGTGAAAAATCCCATTCAATGGTGCCAAGATTGCGAAGCCATTGAACGCCCAAGATCATGTCAAACCCGGCCAGTGGAAGCACATAAAAGTCGGCGGTAAATGTGTGTCCGTCCACTAAGAAGTCAAGCCGAGGACAAGTGCCCAAAATAGGTACCCGATCTCCATTAGCTACTAGAACATGCAAATAAGATTTCTGGTGCAGGGAATGGTTACTGGCAGGAACTAGTCTTTGATGGAGAAAATTATGGGTACTGCCTGAGTCCACCAGAACAGTGATGGGCATATTATTAAGGGTGGCGGCTAATTGCATTGTAGAAGTGGAGCCGATTCCAGTCATAGCATGAAGAGAGAGGGCTGGTTCAAACTGCTCTTCGGACTGGTCATCTTCTATAATGTCAATAAAAAATAATTTTTTGCATTGATGGCCACGAACCCAAGGATCGTCACAGTTATAACAAAGGCCTTTTTCCCGGCGAACAACAGCTTCTGCTCGAGAAATCTTTTTGAAGTGTGGATTGGAGGTGCGCCGTGGTAAATTCGAATCTGCAGGAGCAAGTACTGATTCTGAACGGGCAACTGATTAGGGACGTATTGGAAGTGCAGGCGAAGAATGGCCTATACTGTACTTGCGCTCAACAGCCCTGGACAACATCATAGCAGAATCCAAGTCAATAGGATCCTGGTATTCAACCTCCATGCGTACAACCTCGCGCAGCCCAGCGGTGAATATTTTTACCTGCATACGGGCAGAAATTCCCACACTTCGAGCCAACATCTGTTGGAATGTTTCAATATAATTCTCGAGATCGCCGGTCTGGCGTAGTTTGGCTAGATCGCCTTCCGGATTTGTGCTACTCGGCGGCCCAAAACGTTTAGTACAGCGACCGTAGAATTCAGTCCAAGAGATGACGGAAGTTCCAGTATCCAACTGATTAGCCCATAGTTGTGCGGTCCCGATCATGTGGAAAGTCGCCAAACCCACCCTAGCTGAAGCAGGTGTGCGTTGCTGAATAAAAAAACTCTCACAGCGTTTTAACCAGGAGAGGGATCGCTTTTCCCATCGTACTGTGGGAATTCAATTTTCGAGAACCTGGGAACTAAAGAATCTTCAGTATCACGGCGCGAATGGTCTGCCTCTCTCCTGCGGTCGAACTGGGAGGAGCTGGATGAGGAATCACCTGTTAATTTCTGCACCGTTGAAGCGAGTGTCTCCATGGCGGCCGGAAGGGTGGCCAGTTGCTCCATAGCGGTCTGCAGATCTGCCAAGGTGTGTTCCACCGCCAGTTGCCGGTGATCGATACTCTCAATCATGGTTTTTAGTGAATCCGCAGTAGGAGTCTCGGTCCCCATCGTCCCAGAATCTGATACCAAGTTGTTAAGGGCGTGAGTTAGAGACCTCGTCCAAGGACGTGAACGGGATTGACCACAGGTAAGGGATGATGTTCCGGGATCTATTCTTAATTGACGAGGAATAGATGAACTGAAAATAGGGGCTTAATAGATAATTATCGATCTCCGACCTAGTCAAGAGATCTCAAGATTAATTAACCAAAAAGCTGTTTATTAAAGTAGCTGGGATCCCCTTAAATAGATAAAGGGTTTCCTAAAACAAATAGGAAACTAAGTTGCAATTCTAATACAACTTAAATAAAGGAATACTAATTAAAGTAGGACTAATTAAATACTAATACTAATATGACTCTAACTGCCTTCTTATTTCTTTTCTCTTAGCCACGTTGGTCATTAATCTTCTCTGCCCCACACTGCTTTCTGCGTTCATATGTACGACCATAATATTGGTCCGTAACACATTCATTCAATGTGCAGTTGTAGTTTGGAAATTTGTAAACACGTATATACTGTGCTTGCATGGATGAAAACGACATTTAAACAACACACTTTGTTTTTTGTTTTTTGTTGAGTGTGGGGGTTGTAGCATGTAAACTCTGAACCAGTGTGGAATATTGTAAAAGGTGGGTGCGTATACTACAATAGTGAGGTAGAATAGGGAAAGAAAGGAATGTTGGATAGGAAACAAAAAGATTTAGTGTTTAGTTCGTACTTGCACAACCAGTTTAAAGGTCGATTAGTGACAGAGGAGTTCATATGTGTGTGAGTGGATGTTTGAATAACTATAGTGCATGACTTGAATACAGCTAGTAATATCAAGGAAAAATTCACATGAATAATCCCAATCAAGGTTATTAAGAACGCGATCTAGATCGCTGACTCGTACGATTTTACGCGTCAAGGTAGCAAGCACGAGCTGGATCATACAGAAGATCGGAAAACACAGGAGCTGGACCGTCGAGTAAGATCGTAAGATCGTAAGATCGTCGACTCAGTCGATCTTCGTCATCCATGCCCGAGGGAGAGAATCCGACTCACCTGGTCAGAATTCGAAACGACTCTCAGAGTCGGAAAAGCTTTTACGCAGACCCAACTCCCAAGCTACGTACCTGAGCGACGACCAGAGCGACTGAGCAACTCACCTTCTTTAGTTCTTCTCTAAAATGGCTGGGGGGGGGGGGGGGGGGGGGTATCGCACTGTCGCCTACTCATCTTCATCGGTTTGTCCCATGTCCAGTTCTCCGTATAATCTATTTTCAATTCTCCTCCTAAACTTTTCTCCATCCCTCTCTATTTACAGTCTTACACTCTTTTATCCTTTAATTTTTTTTTTGTTCTGCTCGTCAACAGTTGGGAAACTGGGCAAGTGGTTCTGGAAGAGTACATTCCAGAACTTCTATCACATTTTGTTTGAAGGTGTCTTTTTAATTCATCTTAAGTTTGTGATGCTGTGTGTTTTAATTCAAAAATTACATAGAGTTATTAATATCTTAAAAGTTTTAAGTTTTATATATATATATAGATAGATAGATATACTCCATATATAATATCTATATATTTCTATGCATGGTATCTTTGCCTCTAGGATCTTACGATTCGAGTTACGATCCACGAGTTACGATCTCCTAGCCCCCTTCCGATCCGAGCTAGGATCTCGAGTTTAACAACCTTGATCCCAACTATTGACGATCTTCTCATACTAATCTCAATTATTTATAATTCCAAAATAATCTAAATTATATGGAGTGTCTTCTAAAAATGAACTCGTGACCGGAATAAACAAGTTCAACAGGTTGCCCAACCACGTGGCTTAATATAATTGGGCTTCATATTTTTTAATTTTCCATTCATTTATTTTCTTTTCTTTTCCCCTTTTTGTATTTCTTCGTCAGTTGCTGTCTTCTTTTATGGTACAATTTAACAATTTAACATTCTTTTACAATTTAACACACACGGCTCCAAGTTTGGGTTTAATATTGTAAGGGCCACGTCAAAATGGATTGATGGGCCTCACAGTTTTTATATTAAAGTTGAAATTTGTTCTCAGTCTCGAGCTGAGTTGACTTTTTTCTCGTCCAATAGGTGGGCAAGGCGTTTGTAGTCTGCCTTGCGCCTAGGCCCAGTTTAGCGGCGCCTATTACCGCATTTTAGAACATAATTACGGAGAATTACATTATTTTTGGGCCTTCGAAAATTATTTTTACACATGTCTGTGTAAGGTTTTTTTTATGTCTGTACAGACATAACATATTTTTAAAATACGTTATGTCTATACAGACATAAAAAAAAAAATTACACAGACATGTGTAAAAAGTGTGTACACCAAAAAGTGTATACCTTTAGAATTTTTCAATTTTTTAACAGGTATCTTATTAGTGCAATGCCCAAGTACACATTAGTTTATTTATCAAACATACCAAGGGCAAGGGTACATAACTCGATTATTACTAGTTTACTACAAAGTAGTCGTAGTTGTACTTTATTTCTCATGACCGAGACCGCCATTTTATTACCATCGTTTATTTATACATAAAATAACTTATTATTAACACGAAGTACAATGTCTCACTAGTCGGCAGTGATCGAGACTTGGACTTGACCATATACACCACTTATGGTAGAGGTGGTGGTTCCCGGACATGAGGGATGAAAGGATACACAGCTGGTAGCAGTTTCATCATCAGATGAGATTGAATCATGGTCATACAGATATGCAGAAATGGTTACCCCATCGTCCATTGGAACCACCACAGCCGACCTAGTCAACGGGATTTCCTCTTCGAGGTTGACTTTGACGCTGTCACCCGCCGACTTCTCAAACAAAGTGATTAGTGGAGAACCGCCGTCAAGTACGGAGGTAGCTTTGATGGATCCGTACACATCCACCGGTGATTCTCTGTCACCGTTGATTAGCACCACCCTCACGGTGGCATTCATATCGAATCTTGTGATGGAGTAACCCACCGTGACGCTGCCATACTGTCCTTTCACCACCTTCTCCAAAAGCTTGTCGTAGTTGGCGAATGTTAGATTCTCATTTCTGGGTTCCCAAACAACGACTCCCTCCGCAATCTCATCATCTGGCGACAAAGTGTCGTGGTCTTTCAAACTCACACTGATTGTGACCATATCGTCAGCGTCAATGGCACTTGAAGGACCGGTGAGTGTTATAAGTCCCTGTGGATGTACCTCTTCGGTGTCACCTGGATAGACATATATGCATCACAACATAAGGCCATTTTTTAGAATGTTAAGAACATTTGAAGTGGTGTGGAGGCCAAAATGTCAATAATGTACTCCGTTCATATGAAAAACAGTATTTTGATTCATATTTTCATGCATTACAGAACTGTAAATAAAATACACCTGATGGATAGTCTACCCGGGGGTATATATCCGAAGGGTTATTACGGGGAATAACTTAGAGAGAAGTCAGAGTAAGCAAGTAAATGTAGAGAGAGAGTGTATTCAGTATGAATGCCATTTTCAGCGTGGTTACAAATGGGGAAATGGGGTGCTATTTATAGTAGCAATAAATGCCGGACAGGGACACGTGTCAAACGCTCATTGGCCGAGGGGTCACCTCAACTGGTTGGCGCTGGCAGCCGCATGTGGCCGCATTTAATGCGGCTGTTGGATGGGACGTCTGTACAGGGTACGGTGATCTGTACGCATGTGAGGCGGATATCTTGTCGAGTGAGATGCCTTCGGCTATAGAGTAGTAGCTGAGGGCTCCTCCAACCGATGGCACCCTGGTGCCGAGGGCTCACAGTGCCGAGGGCTACTGTTTTCGCCGTTTTCTCCCAGTTTCTTAGTTTGCTTGAGAAACCCGTTCTGTGAGAGTTTAGAGCCTTCGGCCAGGGGGCCGAAGGCACCCCTGGCGCGTAGTGCGGGCTGCTTGGTACTCTGAGCGCTGTGATTTGGGCCTGTTGGGCCTTCTGGGCCTGTTGGGCCTTCGCTGGAGTAGTAGGAGTCTGTGGGCCGGGGGTTCCCGGGCCATATACTCCATCAGGAGTCCCTCACTCCTTTTGCCGAAAGGTACTTGAGGGAAAAGGAGTAATTTGTGCTTGCCCTTTGATGTTGTCCTGTCGTGATCTCTGAAGTTGGTGAGGAGTTGTTGCTTTTATGTCCCTGCCGAAGGCAGTCCCTCAGTTACCCACATGTCGGGACTTGAGGGCTTGCCTTGTCGTTTGTTGGAATTTCACTAATTTTGTAATTTAATGATTTTCCCGAGGGGGTCCTCCAGTCCTCCACTCCTTGAGGCACTTGTAAAGTGGTGAAAAGGAGTAGAGTAGTTGCGTTGCTGTTGTGGGCCGAAGGCTGACGTTTTTCGTTTCATTTTGGGGGGATGCCTCGTTAAAAACCTCATTAGGAAAAACCCTGTGGGAAAAAATCCTAATGAGGGAAAAAGAGTGCACCGAATTCCCCCAATGATGAATCGAAAATGTCAAACCTTGGTAAAAAATGGAGAATAACGGGAATGTCGAAGGCTCTCTCTTCTGAGGACTCAAGTGTTGATTAGCCGAAGGCTTGCTGTTGATGCCTTGGGGGTGCCGAAGGGGAGCCACTCAATCCGGGGATCGAGGGCCTGCTGGATGAGGGCAGCAGTGGAGTTGTTACCGGGGGGTCCACTGTTTGTTGATTAGTTGGTGATGAAGATACCCGAGGGCTCCCATTACCTGTGTGCCATGGGTTATCCGTAAATGAGGCAACTCCCCGGGGGCTACCCGGTTTTGCAGTGCTGAGGGGGAATCCCCGAGGGGTGCCCTGATTTGAAGTCCTGGGTTTCTGAAGGAGTGATCCCGAAGGCGTCTGTCATGTGCCGTGTGGGGCACAACCCGGGGGTGCTTCTGGGTAAGTGTACCCGGAGGCTATCCTTGATGAAGTGGAGTGAAGCAGAAACCCGGGGGCTTCCAGAATATAGCCGTTGGAAATATAGCCGTTGGAATATGTAACGTCAGGATATAGCCGTTGGGGGGGTACACGTGGCGCGTGACGGTTGGCTGCCCGTGGGCGGCGTCACCAGTTGGGTGAAAACACGGTGCTTAATGATGACGGTCCGTCCGGAGGCCCGGTTTTTGGGCCCAAGCCCGGATTCCAGCGCCTATAAATACCCCAAGGCCAGGCATTCCTCCGTTGTGCGAAAAACTTGTTAGCGAAGCTCTGCCAATTTTTCTAGAGAGAGAAACAGCAGCCCCCGGTTGAATCCTCTGTTCTTAAGGTCAGTTCTCAAGTTACCCTTCACCTCTTAGCTACCTGTACTGTGCCCTTAGGCTAGGAGAGAGAACATTTAGAAAACACTAGTTGTACGAGCCTTCGAACTAGAGTCAGAATGTCATCCCAGAGTGATTCTCAAGATATCTCGGGGGCGCCCTCGATGGAGGATGAATTCCTCTCGGACGTTGAGTCCTCAAGTGCAGAGTCTTCGGTGGGACAGGATGCCGTCGTTGCCCTGGAGTTGCAGAAAGCCCTCGTAGCTGAGGCGGAAGCCGATGGCTTCGAGCAAGAATGTGAGGACGAAGAGTTGGCCCTCGCCTGGCAAGCAGCTGAAGAGGAGGCTCAAAGAGAAAGCGAGAGGGTCACCGTTGCTGTGCTCCCCCCTCGGGGTGCCGGGGAGGCCAGCACCTCCCGGCCGCTAAATGCGGTCCCCATCCGGGTGGCCCCCGGAAAGAAGAAGGCCAAGGCCGCCGCTACCAAGAAGAAGGGCAGCGTAGCAGACCAAGGGAAACCCCTCGATATGCCCGAGGGGTACTTCTACCTCAACACCGCCGCATTGGAGATCAAGTCGAAGGTTGATGCGGCGGACATCTATGTCACCCAACTTCACGTGGGCCCCTCGGCCATCGTGGTGACACCGGGTCCGGATGACGTCCTCTCCCGGGCTCCCGAGGGCTGCATTGCGGTGCACGTCCTCTCAGTATCCATGGGGCTCCGCTTCCCCCCTGCACCCCTTCCTCCGGGAGTACCTTCGGTTCGTGGGTCTGGTTCCCTGCCAGTTGACCCCGAACAGCCATTCTTATATCACCGGCTTCCTTCAGCTCTGCAAGTCCCGGGGGTGACGCCTAGCCTGGACCTCTTCTTCCAGAGCTTCAACCTGTGCCGGGGGGGGGGGGGGGGCACGCGAATGCCGAGGGATTCGCCAATTTGCAGCAGGTGTCCATGTTCAAACTCTTCACTGAGGCGCCCTCCTCGAACAAGGGGTGGAAGGACCGGTGGTGCTATGTGAAGCCAGCCGAGAGCCCCTTCCCGAGGGAGCTACGTGACCGCTTCAGGAGGCACGAGAAGAGGAGGAACGCCGCCCTCGAGAAAGATGGCAGGATTCTGGCCATGATCCCGGAGGGCCGGGACAAAAATATCACCATCAAGGAGTGCACCAAGGAAGCAGATCTCTACACCCTCGGATTCCGGCGGTACCGGTTCCTGGGGGAAACAGACGAGAAGTTCCCAGTGTTTGAGGGAGCCTCCGGAGGTAGTGGCTGAGGGCATTCTCACCCTTAGCAAATTATTTACTTGCGTCGTTTATTTTTTTATGCCACTTATTAGTGACCCCTCGATCCTAACCCCTCATTTTTTTGCAGGTGTTCCAGTAAGCATGATGAACGTCAAAGGCCTCGCCCGACTCAAGAACAAACCGGCCAAGGATCCGAAGGGGCCGGACGCTGGCGGTCAAAAGCCCGTCGGTGCGCCTCCCAAGAAGCCCGAGGGCGATGCTGCTGCGGCAAAGAGGAAGCCGTCGGCAAAGGAGCCCCCCCAGGCCCCCAAAAAGTTGAAGAAGGGGGACGCCGCGAAGGATGACCCCCCGGTGGTGATTGTAGATGACCCTCCGGAGATGCCGATGGCGCCGGTGCCGAGGGGTGCCCGGGAGCCATCTCTCGAGGTCCTTACGCTCTCCCTTCCGGCTGGCACGGCCGTGTTGAATGGCACGGCTGACCCGAGGGCGCTCCTGAGAGGTATAACCCTCGATATCGACAGGGCAGCTCTCGGGGCCGATGATGATCAAGCCCTCGAAGACAGGATCCTCCGGTCTTCCCTCACGGTGAGTTCACTATAGTTTGTCTTTCTCTTTCCCACTTTGAACTAAGAAATCACGTTCGGCCCTGACAACTCGTTTATCTTTGCAGACTTGCGTTGCCCTCGGAGAGCAGTTCCGACGGCTGGAGGAATGGCGCCTCCACAAAGTTGGGCAAGACGCCAAGATGAAGGAGCTGATCCTCAGGGACTCCCAGGCCAAGAAGCTGATGGCCCAGCTTGAAGAGGACCTCCAGCTTGCGAGGGCGGAGGCCAGGAGGCTCAGGGAGGAGAAGGCAGAAGCTGAGGCGGCCGCTGCGGAGGCCGCAAGGAGAGCAGCCGAGGAGGCCGAGGCCATCAAGGCGAAGGCTGTCGCCACAGCCCGGGAGGAGGCCATCTCCGGGTTCCTGGACGGGGGGTGGAAGACCGAGTGGAACAAGGCATGGCTGTCCTCGGTTGTGGAGGCCTCGGTTGATGAGTGGTCCGAGGGCCCGGGCGAGGAGTGGATGGCCCGAAAGGGCAAGCAGTATTATGATGGGGGTGAGTTCTTCACTCAAGCCCTCATCTACCGTAGGATGGCCCGCCATCTGAAGATTGAGCCGAAGGACTTTGACCCGGCGGCGTACGGACTCCCCCTGCAGCCAGACATCCGTGTTCCTCTCCCCCCTGATGTCGAGAGGCCAGACCTGGAGGATTCTGAGCTCCGGAGGGAAGCCGAGGGTGACGATCCTGAGGCCGATGTAGAAGTCACCTCGAAGCCATCGGGGGAGGCGGCCCCCGGGAATGACATTATTTGAAATGTACTTTGTACTTTGAACACTTTTGTAATAGCCACATTAGCGTGTTTTCGGCCTCGGCCAACATTGTAATAACTACATTTACTCCTTGCTGTGATGAATGAATGCTTGCCTTCGGGCTTTGTATCTATGGCCTCTTTTTTTCTAATTCCTTCCCTCTTGAATGTATGCCTTCGGTATTTTTGAATGTATGCCTTCGCTCCTTTGAATGTATGTTTTAGGACTTAGAGTATTTTCTGATCGTAGCCTGCCCTTGGAAGCCCTCGGTAGTTGGGCACCCTCTGCCGGACATGCAACCGAGGGTTCAGCAACAATTAGGACTTAGAACATTTTTCTAAGTGTAGCACAGCATGGGGCCTTCGGGTGTTTGTAGTAACCCAATTCCTAGGACTTAGAAAAATTTCTAAGTGTAGATTTTCCCTTGTGAGCCTTCGGGAAATGGGATCCCTTCCTGATGTGTGAATATTTTTTTGCAAGTGTAGCATGTTATGTAGCCTTCGGCTACTGTGGAGCCC